CTGGAAGACAGAAATTACATATCTCAATCACTAAGTTTCTGGATTATGTCCATCAACTTGTATTCTGAATTTATTTTTTTATTTGTAATTACATTTCACAGATCCAGTTGTTTCCCAGTAGGGCTGGATATAAAATCTGTCTCATGCAAAGTCTGAAGGCAATGGTTCATAAACACTGATGTGTGCCTGTCCCTGAGGTGAAGGGGCCCTACTTAGGTGGATCCATTTGAAAGAGCTAATCTTAATCACAGAAAAATCTAACTCAGTCAACTATATCTATATATGCAGATGTGATCATGTTGTGTCATTGGGAGATCTATAATAAGAAAAGCGGACATACCATAATGGCCTAAAACCCAAACCAAATGCAGGAAAAACAATGCAGAAGACATCTGAAATTTACATGCCATGCTATACACTCCTACTTCAAAAAACATTATAAGAAAATTTTGATTTGATTTTGGTTACAGTGGTCAAATAAGAATCTGGCTATTTGTGTATCTCATGGTACTGCCATTATCACATCTTCCTTGTATAGGTTAGGGGCTTCATTTTTGGCCAAACACTTGGTGAAATATAGAATACTGAAACTCGTTTTTATGGTACTGCAAATCATATTTACATGAAGGTAATTAGTAAATACCCATTCAGAATTGGAAGTGGGAACACGAACCATAACACTTACTACACAGTGACCTATTACAAAATGAACAATATGGCTGCCAATTGACAGGACTGAGATAACAATTAAACCTCATGTAATGTGGTAGTGATGATAATGATGAGTGTAAAGTTGTCCTTGTGCTTAATTAGACATCACATCATGAAGATGTATGGGTAGTGGAGATATCACTCCAACCAATCTCAATCTTGACACTAAATGGATGGGACCTATCAGACACTTCACCCTCTGAGGAAACCAAGCCTGGTACCTACTGAATGGGGTGTTGTGTGGGCCCTAGATTCAGTCTAAATGCAATAGAGAAAAGAAAAACCTAACTTCATGACTACTGTGCCAGAAGCCTAGTTAAGAACAGTAACTCAGCCATCCTGGCTTACAGCAAAACTTAACTTTCCCTGCCTGAGAAAAATTAATGCTTGAATTTCATAAACTTCTTCTGGGCAAGATTTCCAACACACAAAATAAATATTTACATTGTCCTCATGCGATTATGAGGAAAATGCCGATGGGGCACAAGACAGCTACTAGAATCATGTGGCAGGAATTTGCATCACTGCAGGTTACATAACAAAGACATTTTTTCTTGTAACTTTTAGATATGTTTAACCATGAAGGTTTTAGATTTCTAACTGTGCAATGTGACACTGTGAATGACAATCATAAGTTGTAGGGATCATTTTGAATCAATCTCATCTGAAAATTGTTGTTTATACATCCACTGCCATCAGAAATATTTCACGTATTTCTGTTATTTTAGAAACGAAAAACTGGTAACCAATTTTGTAAATTAGAAACAGGTCGTAATACTATGAAAGAATATAATTATAAGCAACTACATACCTGAATCGACAACATGTTTCTATCACTGAAATATTTTCTCCAAAATAAACAACAGTCCACCTTCTGCAACGTTATGCGATCACCTCTGACAGTAAACAGTTACGACCGGATACGACCGTTAAGTGACAAAGGGGATTATAAACCTGCCAGAATAGTGTAACGTGTTTCTGGTTACTGAAGACGCCGTAGAGATGGTTAATTGGTTTATTTAACAATCTACAAATAACGGCTAAAATTACTTATCACACAGTTGCGGGGTTTCACACTTTATAACCCTAAGCGCATTAATCTGTTAACACTGTTGCGGGGTTTCAC